GGAGCCGTGCCTTTTTCTTTGCCCGCAACAACGGAAGTTCAGTGGATGTAGTCCATGGAAGTAAACTTCTGAACATTGCTTTATTACGATCTTTGTACTTAGGATGGACCTTAGGATGTTAGATTTGAATCGTGTAACTGGGATCTCTCGACTATTCATGTATACATGTATACACGTGTATGGACTACTCATACATTACATGTACGTTCTCATTTTACTGAAATGTTAACACTTGCTTTTTTAGAGTTTGAAGTCCTCGTCAAACAATAGATGGAGCCCAGATTTTGAGTTTGAGAAACCCTCCCGTCGGCCAGATTCACAACTTGATGAGCTGTTTTGACGATCGAAGCACCAAAAGGAGTTCTGAATATGGTAGTGACATAAAGAATGAAAGTCCAGCATGAACAATTCGGCTCTGTGATGTTGGATGGAGAGGTCACCAAAGCATAAAATTTCTGAAGCTCAGGACCCCAGTAACAAAGACAAGAACATGCCGACTTCGTGGTAGATGTGGTCCAAAAAAATTGATCGCGGTCTGGGGACAGGGAAAAGGGAACTTAAAGCCGTGGTCAAACGGTGCATGAAAGTCCATAATAGTTAATTCTCCCCTAACTATCATCAACTATCATACGCCTGGTCAAACGGGAAAAACTGTCATCGACTGTCGAGAAGAATTTGAACAAGCTCAAAATGAATGGTAGTTGATGATAGTCGAAGACAGTGCATGATAATTGGAGGTCAAACGAAAGCGCGTGTCCCTGGTTGGCTGATGTTTATTACAGTGAATCACGCCATCCTATATCCATTTGATAACCGTTTGACGTCCTCATGTTGTTATTATTTTTTAATCTCTTAGCCAGTCATAAACCTATGTTAACACGAGCACATCACTATGAGCCCGCAATACATACGCAGACGTGGTAAGATAAACGTCATTTGTTAGGAAAAATTCCGAGCATTGTATTTCCTTGCACCTTACGGCGTCTGCGTATACTCTGCCTATGCTCATACACATAAGCAATAGCATATACTCAATGTAAAAAAACACAATTGTAAATCTTATTTATAGTGGTCATGCACTTAGCTATACAAGAGCTAAGCTTAGCTAGTTGTTTACAGGCATGCCACTGAAACAAAGGAAACAAATGTTTCAAATAAACGTAACATAGTTAAAAATCCCAACTGGCAGGTGGCTATTTACAAAGCGTGACCGAGGATTTTGAACTCGGGACTACCGAGAAACAAATGCTGCTAGTGGCAGGGTGGAGACTTGAACCCGGGACCTTCAGATTACAACACCAGCGCCCTAAACCACTCGGCCACGCTGCCCCCAAGCAAGTGAAGACTCCGCAGCATAAGTTATAGGACATGCGCAAGTGAAGAAACAGCTCATTCTCGTCAATAAACGCGTGGCTCTGGGGACGAGAATAGATACCAGAGTTCCTCGATCGCTAAAAATTCGGGCGGGGTCCGCCGTGTTGTTTGCGATATAATATTTTCGCAGATGCACAGGTAGCCCTCGTCCGTTTAGAATATGAATAGTCAAAACCAGGCGTTACTGAAGCCTTTGATTGAGGTGATTTCTTTCGAGATATATAATAGCCTCCCTCTTTCAAATCATGATATGTTTCTGTTACATCTGACCGTCTTTCGTGGAACAAATGAAAAGAATATAATAGGTATATATTTTAACGAAATTTCCGGCGCGTAAGGAACCTGGACAAGTCTTGGACAACATTTTATACTGTTTATCTTTAGTATTTATGGAAAGGGTGGATAACGCGACCCTGTGGAGAAATCTCACTCCAGGGTATTCATGTGGATAAAACAAACTTCGCTATCCTTTAGATTTTGATTTGTCCGGACGGGGTAACATTATACAATCTTTTAACAACATATGGTTATCATATGGTAAAGCAGTTGTAGCATAATACTGATCAGAATACTGTGAATAAAAAAATGCTGAATCTTTGTATGCTTCGATATGGTAACTGTATGGTAACTGTATCCGTTCCCGGTACCCAGCTTTATACATAAAGCGGCTTCATATAACTTTCCTGGATGCCAAAAAATAAAAAAATTCGGAATGAGCGAAAGTGCATTCTTTGTTGTTCTGGTGACCTGGTGTACCGATGCCTTGTTGATCCATGTTCAAAGGTTTTGCCAAAACCGGACACACACTTACGAAACACGTCCACTGATACCTTGCTGTAAGAGTTGCTTTTTCTTTTTGCCTAGAGAAACATGGTGTCACTAGGCAGTGGACCATTCTTAGAACGATTATGTCAGTGATTGAATTTACTTGAAGATGAATCGACTTGATCGTAAACTGGGTGGCGTTCAAATTGAGGTAAAGGCAACCTCGCCCCAACTCTTCATCGGCCAATATGTCTAAGATCAGATTTGCCGGCAAAAAGTGCCACTCGTAACGTTCAGAGTATAAAATCACCAAGCGTGTCACTGGCCTTAAACAGTCTTTATATGTAAATAAATCAATCAATCAATCAA